TAAAACTATTTTCCAGAAGCACTGTTCTGAAAAGGGAACGAACAAGAAACTAAGCTGCTGTCCATGCACCATGTCCTTGCATTCATTGCCAGCTTCAATACTCCTCCATGTGCTTCTTAGTCAGTCCCACAGATGCAATTCCCAAACCGCAGAGAACTCTTCCGACTTATAAACACAAGTACAGTAATAATAAGCACAGGCCAACAGAGATATTTCCAAAATTCTCAACAAAAGTGTATATATTATGAGCCAACTCTGGCACTGAACTAAACGAATTCTAACCCGATTCCCGAATATCAGAGAAAACCTAAATCAATCGAAACGCAGACAAAAAAAAGTCCTTGGAAACAATTTTAGCACAAATTAGCTCTCCCGATCAATTCGTGGAAAATGTCGATGATTCAACGCAATGGTCTCTTGATTTTGATCTTGGGCAGATTATAATCTCCTGTTTAAACCAATAGAATTCCCAAATTAGAGATGAAACACCAGAAACAGTATCGCAAATCCCTTGTAATCCAAGAAATTGATTGGATTGAGACTGATCACTGAGAAAAACAAGTCTATAATGTGCAATCCTCTTCCATGATCAAACCAGCAAAGTTCACTTCATTCTAGTGGTGCGTTACAGTTTTAGAATCGCAGCCTTGGCAAAGAACAGACTAAAACCAGAATCCTACGAACGATCGGAGCTCCAGCCCATTCTTGAGAAAGCCCGATGTCCCAGTCACAATCTTACTTTCAATCCATAGAGTCGATATCAAACCCTAATTAGTGCAAAACCGATAAATTGGAGAGCCACCCAGTTACGATCCGTCAAAACCCTAGAAAATCCACCGAATACATGAGCACATAGCCAGTACCAAAACCCTAAATTTCCATTACTCAAAAACAAAAAACCTGGGAATCCGAAGAAATCTTTTCGAATGCAAAAAGAAACGGATAGATAGAATCAAAACCCTGAAAAAGAATACCTATGCAATTATAGGGAATCGATTAAAAGGGCAAACGCAGCTCGATTCAGCCGGATAAGGATGAAATTCCAAGGGGGAAAATCAAGTGGGAGGATGAAAGAAAGTAATTGGGCGATTGGGTAGCGAGATTACCTTGTCCGCTACAGAGTAGGCAATGTAGAAGGACAAGATCTCTCTCGTATCTCGCTCAAACAGAGATTAACAAGAAACAGACGGCATAATGAATGGAAAAGATGGAAACGAGGAAGAAAACCAACAAAACTAGTCCAAATTTGGGGGGGGAAAGCTCTTTGTAGCTCTAGATTCTCTCTTCTTTCGCTTCTCTTCTTGTGTGAGAAGAGATTTGAGTGTATTTAGTGTGTAAAATTGAGGTTTTCTTCTCTGGTTCTACTGTGTTTCCTTCTTTGTTTCTCTTTGGGCGTATCTCTGTCTCTGATTCCCCCAACTATTCTCAAGAAAAAATAGAGAAAACGATTTGAGAATACCTCAAAACTCCCCCCTTCCTACTGATTACATCCTTTTTATTTCTATTTCTCTCTCCCTTTCTCTCTCTTCTTTTTTTTTTCTTTCATTTTTTATATTTTTTGGGTGATTGGAGGTCACGCGCAAGCGAGAGAGTGGTAAATGTCTTCAAAAATTAATAAAAATATCGATAAGTTTTGTATTTTATATAAAATTAATAAATACATCGTTTAGATTTAAATTGGAGTTTTAAATTCAAATTGTTAATTTTTTTTGTAAATATATTTCATAAGTGTTTTAAATATATATTTAACTTTCAAATTTTTATTGATAAAATTTTAAAAATTTTAAAAAATATTCTGTAATATGATGATTTTAAAATTTTAAATTTCTTTTTAAGGATATTATTATTTTTTGAAAATAGATAAATATCATATTATTTTGAAAAAAGTTAGGGATATTCTTATTATCTTTTCAAAATTTAAATAACTTTCTAATATATATATATATAGAGTAAAGTAATTTTTAAAGATATTATTAAAAATTTTAAAATTTTAATAGTATTTTTTATATATAGAAAATGCATATATAAGTAGTAACAAAAAAATTTAAATCATTATCCACTTAAAATTGATTTAGTTTGTCAGGTTCACATTTAATTGATTCAAGTTTTACATGAACCAACCTAAAAATACTCGAGCCAATAGATAATGTCTATATTAACATTATAAATAAATATAAAACACGTGTCAGTAATAACAAAAATAAAACTTCACCATTAAATTATGAGAGGGGATAGATTCTCACAGATATAACCGTCAATGAATTAATTATGAACAATTTAGTTTAGGTCGAACTTTTAATTCAATTTAAGCATTTTTAATTATAAATTTCATGAAATTTTAATTATAAATTTTATATCCTAAGAACTTGTTTTTTTTTTTTTTTTTTTCCTTGAAAAATAGAAACTATTTGATAACAGTTACAAAAACGGACCATTCAACAACCTGTTCAGAGCCACCACTTCCTAGACCCCACGTGGCTTGGTTTTCCTTGACGCGGCTTTTCTCCAACGGTGCTACTCATCCACGTGGCGTCATCCAAGTTCATCAAAAGCACAAAACCCTGTCTAATTGACACGTGTCGAATCGTCATATAAGATAATAAATAGAATATTTTTTGGATTAATAAAAATATCGTAAAAGATAATAAATCTTTCAATTTCTCGTAGAAAACAATACATAAAAGATTAAATTAATAAAATTTTAAAACATGTGGGACTAATTAAATAAAATATTAAATACGACAGATTAAGGCATAATATTAATTAAGATAATTAATAGTAAGTCATTGAGATTAATTATTTGAGATAGTTCGCCCAGTTTAATTAATATTTTTTTATTTAATCACGTTTACCATTTTTTTTTTTTTCTAAATTTGCTTGTGTTTTGTGGCTGAAAAAACACGAAAATAACTAAATTGCATAGATCTGTATGTATGTATATGTGTGTGTGTATATATATTGATATTTTTTCACGAGAAGGTTATGTTTAGAAATTCGGATTTCTTCAAAAAGATCGAAGTGTCGAATGGTCTCATCCACTTTGAGGTCCCCCCTCGATCTTTTATCTTTGGATTATGAATCGAATACTTCCTTCCAGTGAAGCATATAGAGATTGAATGTCGACTTATCTTATTACCGTTCAATCTAAGACAGCACATCATTGATAATGATTCAACTAGGGTGCCATAAATTCGCATAGATTGCACCATTGGTAACGACGCAAGTACGTGTGTGTCTATATATATATAATAAATTCCAAATTTATAATGGGCCGAATGGGGGCTTTTGGTGTTCTGTCAAGCATCCCGTAGTGGACCTCAATCTCAGTAATTGGGCCTGTAAATGGGCTAATCCATAGAGTAAAATCAAGGTCAGGCCCAAACATGTCCGTTACAGGCCCAACTCAGTGACTCATCTCAAACATGCGAATAAACATATATATATATATATATATATATATTAAGTGATATAATTCTTGAAATTTATGAATTTGTTAGATTTAAAATTAAAAAAAAAAAAAAAAAAAAAAAAAAAAAAAAAAAAAAAAAAAAAAAAAAAAAAAAAAAACTCATGAGTCAATTATTAAATAATTTTATTATGATGTCATTATGAATAAAGAAAAATATATATTTATAACGGGAATAGAAGAGAGAGAAAGTGTCGGTGGAAAGAAAAAAGGGAACTCTAGAGAGAGAAAGCAAGTGGTGGACAGCATCGACTTTGTTGGAGGTGGCCAATGTCTATTTTGCCCCCCTACATTTTCCTATTTATTTATTTTATAATACTTTTCTCCAATTAATGATTGCAACTCTCATTTTCATCTCAATTAATTCCCACATTTTTTTTTAGTAAAAAATATTTTCTGTGTTATTTATAAATTAGATAATAAATATTTTTCAAAAATTCAACTAAAAATATATATAACCTAATAATTTTTTTTATGGTTTTTGATTAGAGAATTCCAATTGGTCAAATTTTCTAAGTCATTTAAACAATCCTAACTTTTATTGTCCTCGACACCTCCACTTCTAAAATGATTTTTTCTTCTCTAAGTTAAAAATACTTTAGCTTAGGAGTAAAGACACAAATACAACACAATTATTTAAATTTATATTATATTATATAATTTTTTTTTTCTTTAGAATAATATGATAAGAATGTAATAAACTATAGGGAAAAAATATAATATGTGACACATTATTTATATCATTAAATTTACATAACTTTATAATAGAGAGCTGGAAATATATATATTTTTATATGATGTGAGTGCCGAATATTTGAATGGATTATATTTTGATAATTTTAGATTCATTTGACCATATACTAAGAATTAATTGGGATTTTTCATATTTTGGAATTAGACAAGAATCTAGTTTTTAGATATATGATGTTTTTCTGTTCTAGAAAATTAGAACATTCCTTGTGTTATGTTTTTTCATTTCTTACAAAAATTTCCATTTATTTTTTTTATTTTTATTTTTCTGAAGACCAGGGAGGGATTCTCTTCTACAAGAAGTTCATGAGATATATATATTAATTAGATTATGTTAATTTTTCAATATAGTTTCTATTATAAAAAATGGAAAACATCATTAAATAAAAGAAAACGGTGTAACTTTAAAATCTAATTTCTAAAAATTGAAATTTTAATATATATATTTATTTATTTATTTACTTAGGTCGTGCGGGTAGGAGTTTAAGATAGGGACAGTAAATGTAATCTTCATCTCGACTCAGTTTAGTTAAGGGAGAGAAATCTCGTCTCTCTTTCCATTATTTGTTTAAATGAAAATTTTTGGTTGAGTTTAAGATGGGTATCTATATGTAATTTTGTAATAATACGTTTAAATCCTGAAATTTTTTTAAAAAATTAATTCAGGATGAGTGTAATATATATATTTACTTATATGAATATTTTTATAATTTCTCAAAAAAAAAAAAAGTTTAAGGATAAAATTATAAAGAATAATTTTTAGAATAAAAAAACAAAATAAACATAATATGGATGGAAAATGAATAAGTTTTGATCACATGAAATCAACGGCTGAGATCCACAACCATTCTAGTGGACCCCACGCCTTCCAATTATTACATCATCCATCTCTCTCTCTCTTCAACATTTCCACTTCCCACTTTCTCTCTCCTATTTCCCTTTTGGTATGAAATTACAGAATATTATTTTTCATATAAATTGTATCTATTTTTTTTCTACAACATGAACAACAGCTGTGGATTCCTTCGATCCTCTACAGCCGAAACCACGATAGCAATAATAATTATAATTATAAATAAGTAAACAAAAAAAAAAGGAAAAAGAGGAAAAGAGACGACAAGTCGACGAAGGCCATGTGACGACGGACGGAATAAAAAAAAGAAATAAGAAAAATAAAAAACCAATCAAGCGGATTCCCCGGGTGACTGATTATTATTTTTCTCATTTTCCTTTTTTACCCTCGACTGAATTCCATAATACCCAACGTACCACTTCACGAACTTCCGGAGCCCCGTGGGTAGATCCGTGGATGGTTTGTACCCGAAATCCTTAAACGCTAAACTAACATTCGCATGAGTAAACGGAACGTCGCCGTTTCGTGGCATAGTAATTATATGCTTTTTCGCCTTTGTATTCAACAGATTCTCAAGCACCGACACCAATTTCCCTACCGGCACTGGCGACGTATTCCCAAGGTTATAAATCCTCAACTGCGCCGGAGCTTTCTTCTTTCCTCCACTCCCGGTGGACTTCTCCGCCGTGTCTAATGCTCCGAGGCAGCCTTTTACGATATCGTCGATGTACGTGAAGTCACGCGCCACCTCCTTCGCGTCGTGAGTTTTGTAGATATCGATTTGTTTCCCTTGGAGGATATCCTTTGTGAAAAAGAAATACGCCATGTCTGGCCTCCCCCACGGGCCGTAGACGGTGAAGAATCGGAGTCCGGTGAGTGAAAGGCCGTAGATATGATTATAAGTATGAGCGATTTCCTCGCCGGCTTTTTTCGTGGCGGCGTAGAGACTCGCCGGTTGGTCGGTTCGGTGGAGTTCTGAAAACGGATTTTCAGTGTTTAAACCGTAGACGGAACTGGATGACGCCCAAACTATCGCCGGTTGTGGATCGGCGGCTTTGGCAACTTCTAGAAGGTTCACGAAGCCGGCAATGTTGGAGCTGATGTAGGATTGGGGATTTTTCATAGCGTAACGAACTCCGGCTTGAGCTGCCAGGTGGAGGATGTGCGTGAAGGGGACCACATCGAAAAGCTTAGCGAGCAATGCCGCGTCATTCAAATCGCCTTCAACGATGAATATCTGATGCTTAAGAAGAAGAGATTGCCGTGCTCGTTTCAACGACGGATCGTAATAGTTATTGAAATTATCAAGTCCCAAAACGCCGTCGCCTCGTTTCTTCAACGCCATCGAGCAATGAGAACCGACGAAACCGGCGGCGCCGGTGACCAACACTGACATTCCATTAGGACGATGAGGGGTGGAGGAGTGGCGGACTTGTTTCTCCCAGGCAGCACCGCCGTGGTCACTCCCGCCGTAGAAGGCAGAGGAGAGGAAATTCCGGTGAGTGTGAAGGTTGTTTCCGCCGTTTCCGCCGCCGCTGTCTGGGTAATTGATGGTGAAAATGAAGACGAGAATCAAAGCGACGAGAAGAGTAGCGCGGAATAGAAGCTTAGATGAGGCGTTTAAGAGTTTTGTGCTGTTGACTTTCCTGATATAGCTGTTGTAGCGTTCTAGCTTGAGGGTTTTGCTGGTATCCGGCGGTGACGCCATTGTTGAGCAATCGGAGGTCTGTAAAAAAAAATGGAAAAGTAGAAACGAAAGGAGATTGGAATGCTAAGAGCTCTGAACTAAAGTAGAGCTCTGAAGATGAGCGGTGGGTTAGGGAAAGATTAATATAGCGATGAGAGAGAAATAAGTGGGCCCAGAGAGAGAAAGAAGGGGTTGGGAATGGTTATTGGTTAACGACAATTTTTCCTCCTTATTCTTACAAATGGAAAGTGGCACGTACCAGACCCTTCCACAAATGCCCCTACTCTTCTTTTTTATTACTTTTAAGTTTTTTTTTATTATTATTATTTTCCTCAATTATTTTCTTACATATTAAAATTCTCACAAAATTTTAAATATTAATTAATAACTTCTAAGTTTTAATATAAACTTGTAATTCAAAAAGTAGGAAAAATCATTAAAAGGGTAAATTGGTCATTTACGATAATTAAAACCAAATTGACCATAAACATGGAAATCATCACCTTAGTAGAAGTTGTCAACCGACTAGTGGTCCCTTTATTACTCAGTAAGTGATCTCCAATATATGTTCATTATCAAGACTATGGAGACCTAAATTCATGATTGTTTTCGGGTTCTATTTTAATTTACGGTTAGGGATTGAAACCATAGTATTCTCTATACACGGTCCATAAATATGCACATGAAATGGACGATACTCAATATGAAAGTTACGAGAGGGACGGACAATACTTTGTTCAAAGATGGTTGAGGATGCAGTCACGACAACGATTAGAATTAGATAAAACTGTAAAGCATTGTTGACTACACGGTCAACACATGTCTAGATATCAACTAGATAAAACTATAAATCAATATAATATCCATATACAATTCTCTATATTTTTTTCTTTAAATAAAATTATCAATATAATATATAATTTAAATACTAACAAATTAGAATATAAATAGTGAAAAAGAGTGGGAATGGTCTTTAAAGTCAAATGAGTAAAAGCCAATGACGCGTTGGGTTTTATTTTATTTATTTTTTTGTCGGATAGTTTGAGAATTAATATTTAATTTTAATTTTAAATTAATATTTAATTTTTTTTAAAAAAAATTAAAATATACTACTTTTTAATATAAAACAAATTTGAAGATTTAAAGTTGGACATATCTTATAATGGATTAATGTCTCTTTCAAATTTATAAAACAAATTTGAAGATTTAATTTTAAATTATTATTTATTTACCCAACTTAAACGCAAATTAAAAAATAATTAGCCTTACTAATATTGGATTATATGGACAAATTTTGGGTTAACCATTATTTAAAATTTTGATGGGATTATTAATTTCTGAAAATTAATTATTTCTGAAAGAAGAATTGGTTAGAAAACTAATATAATTATTGAAAGAGGGTCATGTTGGGAAATAACAGAAAATTTGGGCAAAAAGTGAAAAGATTGTCAGAGTTTTAGTGAATTCGTATTGGTTCCTCTTTTGGCATTGGCGTCGGTGGTCAAATAAAGATGAGCTGGAAATCAGAATTATCCCAATTCAATCCAATTTTAACAGCTAAGCCCAAAATATTAAATAAATAAATATAAATAAAAACAAAAACATTTTTAAAAAGTCAATAATAAAATTGTCCTAAATTTTAACTTTAGGGTTCATAAATTAATATATTTGGATTTGCGTTCGTTTTCGCCCGTACGTATCGCCGTCAGTTTTACGGTTTTAAAACGCGTCTATTACGGAGAAGTTTCTACACCTATATAAGAAAAGTTTTGTTCCCCTCTCAAACGATTTAAGATTTCACAATCCACTTCCCTTGAGAGCCCAATGTCTACCCTGACACACTGCTCAGTGGCCGACTCTAATTTCATTTGTAACAATTAAAATCCACTGTTATTAGATATTGTCTGCTTTGGCTCGTTACATATTGATTAGCCTTGCGGTTCTAAAATGTGTCTGTTAGGGAGACGTTTTCATACTCTTATAAGAAATGATTCGATGAATGCCTTGATGAGACCAAGATAAAAGTCCGACTAATTTAGGGAATGATCGTGGGTTTATAATAAAAGAATACTATCTTCATTGGTATGATTGGGCTAAGTTAAGACTTTTTTTAATAATAATAAGACTTGACGTGGAATTAAATATTTAATGAATAATTTGCGGTTTAAGTGATACGAATAATAAAGCATCATGTGATCATTTAATTAAATAATTAAATTTTACACTTTTTCTCCTTATTGTTGTCTATAATGGATTCCAACCGACCATGTCTCCCAAGGAATAAATAAAATAAATAAATAAAAATAAAAGACAATGGCATTTAGTAAATACATCTAAATATGAAGGCTATTAATTGTCTTCTAATATTATATATTAAAATAAAATAATTGAATATTTCTTATACTTCTAATTATTCCTAGTTTGAATAAATCTATTATTTTAAATATGGCCCTAAGATCATATTGGAAATAAATAAATGAATTTATTTACTCTGAAATCCCGGTTCTGCCTGAACCAACCTCCGCTTCTCTACAAGGTCGACTTTCTTCTTCCTTCAGACCGGGCCAAGCCTTTAGGTTGTTTAAGTAGGTTGCGCTAGGTTAGGTTGATCTTTTGGAGTGATCTTCAATCAGGGTCCTCGCTCCCTTCATACGCCTTGCAGCTTCATCTAAGTGGGTTTGGGCTAGGTCATTGCACTCCTGCCCCACCTGTTGGCACACTAACATCTCTTTTTCCTATCAATTACACATTTTCTTTTTTGATCTTTGACGACGAAGTCCTAAGGCAAATAGAGCTATTTGTTAGAAGGCAGTGCAGCTTGATTGTCGAGCGGAATCAACAGTAAGGAAAAAGGTAGATTGTTCGATTCTATTTCCCCGGATTGGCTTGTTGTGATAGGGGATTGGAATTCGTCTTTTCTTTGTTTGTATCACCGAGACTCTCGAAGGGCCGGCCATATGTACCTCGCCTCGGGAGACCGGGTCCATTAAAATCAAAAGAGAACGAGCACCTACGATTAAGGGGAATGGAATGTCGACCACAAAGTGGGATGATCTTCTAATACGAGGATGAGTTACTGGTCAAGTCATGAAACTTTTGCATTTTGATCAACAAGGCTGTAAGTGGACTGGATTTATGTGCTTAAACCGACTACGACAAATAAATAAAGAGAGAGAAATAGAGTCGACAAAAAAAAAATAATAATAATAATAATAAATAAATAAATTTGGTGGTTTTGTGGGGTTGTAGGGTATGGTTTCCACTCATTTTTGGGACTATTACACCCATAAATTGAAAATAGGGTAGTGTGACCTTATATCTTTAATTTTGCACTTTATTTTTTTTTATTCATGTTAAAACTATTATTGCAATTGAAAGATATTTATTGGTTTTAGTCTCGTAAACCTCTTAAACTATCGTTGAATCCATGAACAGACAAGAGACAACACGGTGAACTGGAAAAATAAAGCTAAAGCAATTTTTGTAAAAGTAACGAGCGAAATGGGAACAACCTAAACCGTGAAAATGGGATTGTAGAAGAACAATACAAACGTCGTGCTATTAGGCGAAACAGTGGAATGTTGCTATAAAATCCCACATCAGTTGAAGAGAGAAACGAAACATTCTGTTAGCGGACAATGTCTAGACGCGTTTTAAAGACCAAGAGACTAATGATTATACGTAACGAGCTAAAGTGGACAATGTCTGTTAGCGGTTGATTTGGACTGTTACAGTTGCACCCTAAATACCGAGAGTCTAGTAGTCGAGAATATCACTAGCTTACATCGAAGCTGAATAAAAATAAATTTATGAAATACGGGCTATTTATGAGGTAGGTGATAGAAAAGAATGGGAAAGTTTGAAAGGTAATCATAATGCTATGGGTGACTTTTATTTCTTTAGGGTAATTTTTGTCCTTTTTTGCAAAATTCAAATATTCGACGATAATTATTTTATTTATTTATTTTTTCACGACATAAGGTCGGGATACAAATAATTATCTTAATTTTTTAATTTTAATACATTATTTTTAAAGTTAATACTAATGTTGAGTTATCAAATATTTGGATTATTTGGATATGTTAGCTTGCAAAAATGGGCACTATCTTTTAGTTAATTGCGAATCTGCCCCAAAATCAAGTGAAATTTGAAAAGAGTACTAAAAGGTCCCAAATTTAAACATTATTAGAAAATTAAAAAAAAAATAATAATAATAAATGTGAAAAAGTTAGATAATTAGGTGTTCTTGCCTCGCTGGAAATGTCGGCAGAATGATTGGTGGAGAGAGGGAGGCCCTTCCAGAAGCTTCCTATTGCATAATAATATTTAAATTTTATTTATTTTCTTGTAATTTTAGACTCGAAACCCTAAATACAACCGTTTTTATAAGGTGCATAATCGACCTCGGTCCTCATTTTTGTAAATTTCAATCGTGTCCTCTAATTTTGAAAAAATTTATTTTTGACCAATAAGTTTTGAAATTTATTCTCGATGAACTTTATAAATCGACAATATTAAATAAATATTTATGAAGAAAATTTCGGTGTGAACGTAGAAAATATACTAAAAAATTTTGGTCGAGAATGTGAGGGTGGACATGTGAGGAGGGCAATTGTAGGCATGTGGGTGTGTTGGGATTGTTAATGATTGCTCGCTAACACTCCATATTCCATTCGTCCCTTTCCCTTCCACTCTCTCTCTCCTTTTATTATTTCTCTCTCCCGGGTAGATATATTCGAGATTTTCTCCCAACTTTTATAAAAAAAAATACTTAGTGGTGGACGACAAGAGTCGAGAATGACAAAAATGTGTCGAAAACTTACCTTTTCTCGATAAATTACTAAATGTAGTTGTCGTAACGTGAATGGTTGTTGAATGAAATTGTCGAGACAAAAAATATTGTTATGAATCGTAGTAATCTCTTGTTAACCTGTGCATAGCTTAATTGATCACGACATGCATATGTTCTCGAGTAAGATCTTAGATGTATTTAATTCTTCTGCTTCAAATGTTAGATGAACTAAAAAATTGAACCTCTCTCGAGCACACGAGGTGTTTGACGAAATTTCTATGTAAATTTTTGTTGTCGACACTTCTCTCGCTACCACTGTCTCTTTCCAT